AAACTACACTTATCATATTTAGTCAAGCACGAACACTTACTTTCTTGAGTTGAAGCAACATAGTATTACTTATTCTAATGTTGACATTTAAGTTGTGATAACTAATTGCAGCAATCATTCATAGCTTAAAAATGATCAAACTTATCAAAACTGATAAAAATGATCAAATAAATTGAAATTTAAAATACAGGAGCAAAAATTTCCAATAGAATTTTCGTGATTGCTTTATACTTCTGCATGCATTAATTCATTCAATTCATGTCCCTTCTGGGACACATGGTGTCAGTATACTCCATGTCAGAGATGCAGATGGCTGTGCTGGACCAATTCATGAAAATGATATGAGGCAGTTCTTATGACACTGAGGTTCTCACGCCTAGGGGCAGGTGTTCATGAGATACAATACTGCGGAAGCTTGAGAATTTATCAGCCACAGGCATTTGGGAGTAGAAACTGTGCAACACAAGATTCAACATATTTCTTTCTTAACCATTATACTCATACATCTTGTAGCCTACTTCTGCATCGCTCTTCACTGGGTTAGGCATTTTAGGGGATGGCAATTAAGGACCCACAGCACAACAAATGTCATGCATGTCTCGAAAAATCCATGTTGAACTTTCTCAGTGCAACATTTCTTTGATGCACTGCCCCCGTTTTGTGTAAGTTCTGCATTGAATTATTAATGCAATTGCATCTTTCAGTTTCTCTGCAACTATAGCAACACCAAAGTGACCTTCCTCAACAGCGATGGCAATGTGACATTTGTTCTCGTTTCAGCTGATGTTACAAATAGCTGTTTTTCATTATCAGCGTTGCTTAAAATGGCTTCAAGAGATACTGACAGGTTTGAACAAGACTCTGAAATATATTTGCAGCAAAAGTGGAACAAACCCTGGAGCAAAGTGGGAGTAAGGAATTTGGGATTTTTTTTGCAAAAAATAAATAAATAAAAGTTTATATATGACCACGTTTCTGTTCCAGTATTTTTCAACCGTCCTAGTGCAACTACAAAGATAAGTGGTCTATGCCATGGACAGGAGTTAACCTTTTTTTATGCTAACCTTTATGGTTACCTAAATTGTTTCTGCAGAGTCATAAACCCATGACTATGGTTAGTTTTATACTCTGAAAATAGCCTATAGACATTTTTTGCCTTTATTTTTTTAATTTATGGTGCATTTTTGTTGCTTTTGGTTACATTTTGGAGGCACGATGGATGGATGGATGGATGGATGGACTACATTTTGGGTCGTAAATACTCTTGTCTTCATCCAAAAAAATTCTGCTTACTTTTTACAATCACTTAAAATGATAGGCCAAATGACATTTCATTAAGTGAACAAGACCATTTGGTTTTACCATTTGAAGAAATTCCTTATGGGCAGCAGGGAAATCGTCTTTAAACATGACATCGCAGTAAGAATGAACATTCCCTTGAGGATCTAGCATATCACAAAGATAGGCTAATTAATGTATGATCAGAACTATTTTTATTTTATTTATTTTTTTATTGCAAGTATAAACACTTAACAATTAATGTAACATTGGATGACATTATGAATACAGAAATTACATAGGAAGACAAAGTAGAGAGAAAAAAATTATAATAATAATAAAAAATAAACAAGAATTCATAGATAAAACAAAAAATACAGAGGTAGTAATTCAAGAATTATGTACCATTCAGCAGATCATTCTACAGTTTCACAAATTTGACACTTTTTTCGGTATTCATATTTTCTTTGTGCTATAATTAAGTAGTTAAAGTCACAAAGAAAATGATGTAATTTTGGAGATGTTGAAGAAAATGTACATTTATGAATATAATATTTTCCCGAATAAAAGAAATACATTTTCTTATATATTCTATGTTATGTTTACAATGAGAAAAATAACGAAATATATCACACGTAGTAACATCAATGTCTACGGATGACATTATGAATACAGAAATTACATAGGAAGACAAAGTAGAGAGAAAAAAAGTATAATAATAATAAAAATAAACAAGAATTCATAGATAAAAAAAAAAATACAGAGGTAGTAATTCAAGAATTATGTACCATTCAGCAGATCATTCTACAGTTTCACAAATTTGACACTTTTTTCGGTATTCATATTTTCTTTGTGTTATAATTAAGTAGTTAAAGTCACAAAGAAAATGATGTAATTTTGGAGATGTTGAAGAAAATGTACATTTATGAATATAATATTTTCCCGAATAAAAGAAATACATTTTCTTATATATTCTATGTTATGTTTACAATGAGAAAAATAACGAAATATATCACACGTAGTAACATCAATGTCTACATTAGATTTTGAAGAAAATAATTTTGACACTGTATGATCAGAACTTTCATTTTTTTTATTATGCGACATATACAAAAGTCAGGGTAACAAAGGATAAAAGTATATATATATATATATATACATACACATATCCATATATACACATACACATATATATATATATATATATATACACACATAATCAGAGACACGCATGACCTTTACATACTCAAATATTTTGAAGCCAGAACACAAGCTGACAGTTTTAATTGCCTTTCTATTAGTACTATGTTGAATAGTACACAAGTAATTTTTCAACTCTTTAAAAAACACTGTAAAACAGTGTAAAATGTACACTTATGAATGTGAAACTTAACCAACAAAATAAACAGATTAATAACAAAAACTTAGTTATTTACATTATCATAATTAAAATATCCAAAAACGACATTTTCAAAATGCAAATTAAAATGAAAGAGTACCTTTTCTTTGATAAACATAGAGACATCATGCCATAACTTTTTAACATAACTACAGTGCCACTGTATGATCAGAGCTAACATGATTGTGACGTCATCGCTCTTGATCAACTAACCAATCACATTCGTATCCTGTCGCACACAAAGCAGGCCGCTTCGGAATCCCGCAACGCTATTGGCCGAACGACATGGCAGACACAGGATTATCCGCTTCATGGTAGGTTGGTACCGTGCAGACGCGTTTAAAAACGCCCAAGCAGGAGTCCGCAATTACCGCGTTTTGTTTTAGCATCACCCTGCAGCGGAACATTGTGACGTCGTCATGAGCAGCGCACGGGTCTTCTGTGGAGTCCCTTGATTGACAGCTCGCAGCAAAATATTCCCTTCTTTTCCTACAACGGCGTTGTAGACAAGATGCACATGTGATTTGTGTTTTTGTTTTGGTTGTTAGAAAGCATCCGTTTCCGACTACAGCTATGCAGTTTCTAACTTCAATGCTTTTTATGATTAGTTAAAGTTGCATTGAACTTGCATCTGCATTGCGTTCCGCTGTTGTGCTGGGCTGTGGAGCTGGAGGAAGCATGGGACTGCCTGCGTTAGAGTTCAGCGACTGCTATGTGGACAGCCCTCAGTTCCGAGAGAGGCTGAAGTCTCATGAGCTGGAATTAGAGAAGACCAATAAATTCATCAAGGAGCTGATTAAGGACGGGAACGCTTTAATTCAAGCCCTGAAATGTAAGATATGTTTCGTTGTCTTGTGTAATAAACAACCTGTTACAGATTAATAAACACATGATATAGTCTTTAAAGAGCCACTTGCTTAACGTCAAGACAGAGTAGAGAGCTTAAGATTTGTTAAACTACGTTTAAGTGAATAATTTGTCACTTTTAAGCCTGTTATAAACTGGAATAGTTTACATCTAGTAGCCCCAAAAGTATTTGGATTCTTAAAGGGGTCATATGATGCTTTTTTTTAAAGATCATTATTTTGTGTATTTGGTGTAACAGAATATGTTGACATGCTTTAATGTTCAAAAAACACATTCTTTTTCAAATACTGTACATTATTGTAGGAAAGATAGGCTAATTAATGTATGATCAGAACTATTTTTATTTTATTTATTTTTTTATTGCAAGTATAAACACTTAACAATTAATGTAACATTGGATGACATTATGAATACAGAAATTACATAGGAAGACAAAGTAGAGAGAAAAAAAGTATAATAATAATAAAAATAAACAAGAATTCATAGATAAAAAAAAAAATACAGAGGTAGTAATTCAAGAATTATGTACCATTCAGCAGATCATTCTACAGTTTCACAAATTTGACACTTTTTTCGGTATTCATATTTTCTTTGTGTTATAATTAAGTAGTTAAAGTCACAAAGAAAATGATGTAATTTTGGAGATGTTGAAGAAAATGTACATTTATGAATATATTATTTTCCCGAATAAAAGAAATACATTTTCTTATATATTCTATGTTATGTTTACAATGAGAAAAATAACGAAATATATCACACGTAGTAACATCAATGTCTACATTAGATTTTGAAGAAAATAATTTTGACACTGTATGATCAGAACTTTCATTTTTTTTATTATGCGACATATACAAAAGTCAGGGTAACAAAGGATAAAAGTATATATATATATATATATACATACACATATCCATATATACACATACACATATATATATATATATATATATACACACATAATCAGAGACACGCATGACCTTTACATACTCAAATATTTTGAAGCCAGAACACAAGCTGACAGTTTTAATTGCCTTTCTATTAGTACTATGTTGAATAGTACACAAGTAATTTTTCAACTCTTTAAAAAACACTGTAAAACAGTGTAAAATGTACACTTATGAATGTGAAACTTAACCAACAAAATAAACAGATTAATAACAAAAACTTAGTTATTTACATTATCATAATTAAAATATCCAAAAACGACATTTTCAAAATGCAAATTAAAATGAAAGAGAACCTTTTCTTTGATAAACATAGAGACATCATGCCATAACTTTTTAACATAACTACAGTGCCACTGTATGATCAGAGCTAACATGATTGTGACGTCATCGCTCTTGATCAACTAACCAATCACATTCGTATCCTGTCGCACACAAAGCAGGCCGCTTCGGAATCCCGCAACGCTATTGGCCGAACGACATGGCAGACACAGGATTATCCGCTTCATGGTAGGTTGGTACCGTGCAGACGCGTTTAAAAACGCCCAAGCAGGAGTCCGCAATTACCGCGTTTTGTTTTAGCATCACCCTGCAGCGGAACATTGTGACGTCGTCATGAGCAGCGCACGGGTCTTCTGTGGAGTCCCTTGATTGACAGCTCGCAGCAAAATATTCCCTTCTTTTCCTACAACGGCGTTGTAGACAAGATGCACATGTGATTTGTGTTTTTGTTTTGGTTGTTAGAAAGCATCCGTTTCCGACTACAGCTATGCAGTTTCTAACTTCAATGCTTTTTATGATTAGTTAAAGTTGCATTGAACTTGCATCTGCATTGCGTTCCGCTGTTGTGCTGGGCTGTGGAGCTGGAGGAAGCATGGGACTGCCTGCGTTAGAGTTCAGCGACTGCTATGTGGACAGCCCTCAGTTCCGAGAGAGGCTGAAGTCTCATGAGCTGGAATTAGAGAAGACCAATAAATTCATCAAGGAGCTGATTAAGGACGGGAACGCTTTAATTCAAGCCCTGAAATGTAAGATATGTTTCGTTGTCTTGTGTAATAAACAACCTGTTACAGATTAATAAACACATGATATAGTCTTTAAAGAGCCACTTGCTTAACGTCAAGACAGAGTAGAGAGCTTAAGATTTGTTAAACTACGTTTAAGTGAATAATTTGTCACTTTTAAGCCTGTTATAAACTGGAATAGTTTACATCTAGTAGCCCCAAAAGTATTTGGATTCTTAAAGGGGTCATATGATGCTTTTTTTTAAAGATCATTATTTTGCGCTATCTCTATCTCTCTCTCTCTCGCGCGCTCGCTCTCTCTCTCTCGCGCTCTCTCGCTCTCTCTGGCTCTCTCTCTCTCTCTCTCTCTCGCGCTCGCTCTAGTACTGGAATCATGAGCTTTAACAACATTTGTCTGGGCAAGTCATAATTAAGGATGGGAAAAGAGAGATATGTTTGCTTTCAAGTTTTGAAAATATGATGTGTTAGCTCGTTAGGTTTCTCTATTACCCTTCTGTAAAAAATTTTTTTACAAAGCTCCTCGGTCTGAAAAAGCGAGGTGTGCTCTGAAATATAAAATATAAGAATACATGTAAATATTTTCAAAATGTTTACTGTGTGTGTATTTATATATACATAATAAATATACAGAGTACACATACAGTTTTCTATTATTATTTTCATCAGCAATATGGTTTAGTTATTAAAATCATTAAATTATTGTCCGTGCAGAGGCTATTCCGTTTTATTGATCTATGGTGCATTAATTTTGATTCTTTACACATGTAATGATGTCCAATGACTTGTTTGCATTATTTTTGCAATATTTTATTTATTTGTAAGACTTTTTTATGACTAAATTTGGTAATGGGAGAGTAAAATTATTTTTAAAACGTACACCGTTCAAACTAGGCTGCTTATGTTGAAGTGTTTGGGATGTGGTTTTTGATGATGAGACCTTTTTTGTAATCAGGCTCTCAAAAAGTATATAACAATTTGGATATAGATTTATCGGCCAACATATTGGTTATCGGCTTTCAAAAATAAAGAATTATCAGTTATCGGTATTGGCCAAAATGTTCATATCGGTGCATCCCTACTTTTATTTTGGATGCGATTAATCGCGATTAATCGTTTGACAGTACTAATACACACACACACACACACACACACACACACACATAAATTATAATACAACTTATAATTCACAAAACTGTTTGTCAGGCATGTCACAAAGACACAGTTTGGGTAGATTGCTCTCCAAAAAGCCTTTTAAAAGGTTGAGTCTTTGTTTCACACACTGCTGAGAGTTTCTCAGGGTATAAAGGGAAAGATAACTTTTACCTCCCAAAGGATGAGGCTGTTTTCACACTGCACAGCTGTGAGAGGAGATTCAGTAGTGCTTCCCTGCAGGGATCAGGGAACATCCACAGATTCACGCATGAGAGGACAACAAAGAAACAGCGTGTGTGTTTTAGTTTGGTTAGTGCTCCATGAGGAGTGGGTTGGAAGGGAAATTAGGGCAGCCTCCGCTGGATAATTATTGTCGCTCTATAATCTAAGCCCTCTGTGTCTGGAGGCAACCTACGATAACTGATGTGGCTTCTCTTTAAGACTCCAGTCTGTGGCGTTGAGCATGAGTGAAGCAGGATTATCGTTAGTAGGATTACATATCCTCTTTAATAAAGAAACTCAGTTACACTATGAGATTATAACTGCATTAAGTGTGCTTTTACGCACAGGATTACAATCAAACAAGGCTCTCTATTACTTACTATAAGTGATGGATTATGGATGCATTAATAATGTATGGTTGGCATGTTCCTTAAAATGAATTTGTCTTCTGGAAAAGTATTTGGAATACATAACCAGTTACCTAAAATATTATTATTTGAGTAATATATTATGCAATATGAGTTGAATCATCACTATTACTATAGCTCATATTTAGGGTTAGACATTTGAACAAACCCCTAAGCTTATGTTTTTAACTTTTTTTGTAACTCTCATACCACTCATTCCATGCTTTTGAGAGGTGTTTTGATATTCCTTATCAAATTCTTAGGCGGTCTGACTGAAGGTTGGCATGACATTTTTCTCTCTTTTTTTTTAATCTGTTACACTTGAATGTATATCACAATACAGAACAAAAATCTTCCACTGCTTCCTTTTTTTCAATCAATTTTAAGATTTTTCTGGCAGATGAGAAAACTATCTAAAAACATAGTTTTCATGGTCAAGTGTCACCCATATTTTCTTCAGAAACGTTACTGTATATATTAGCCAATATTAGATGGTTGATTGTATAAACAGGCTCATTTCCTCTATTTTTATGTAGATCATATCTAACACTCACATAAAGTTAATCTTTAAAAACCCTAACAATTTCGTAGCACTGTTAAGTTTAATCTTTTGCATATGTCAAAATGAATATACATTTTTCATACTTTATTGCTTTGTTGCCTAAATTGACTTGTAGAATTTAAAATGACTGAATTTAGTTTTTTAAATGACTGATTTTAGTATTTTATTTTGTATTCGTTTAGAAAAAATTACCATACAGTTTTAATATTGGCCACTTATTTGGCCACAGCATAAAAAATAATTATTGGCTTGTCACTTGCTAGAATTGGAATATTGTGCATCCTCAGGGGGAAATAAATAATAAGAATGAATTAATAAATAAAAAGTAGTTTAATTGTTATGTGCTTGTGTTTGAAAAGACAGTTAAAGGGGTCATATGATGCGATTTCAATTTTTCCTTTCTCTTTGAAGTGTTACAAGCTCTTGGTGCATAAAGAAGATCTGTAAAGTTGCAAAGACTAAAGTCTCAAATCCAAAGAGATATTCTTTATAAAAGTTAAGAGTCAACCACGCCTACCTAAAACGGCTCGTTCTAACACGCCCCCACATATCTACCTCACTATTTGTGCGGCGTTATGCAACTCTTCCCACATCTTCACGCAACGAAAGAAGGCGTAACTTTTATTCTCGCTGTAGTATTGTTGCCGCCGCCGCCATGTCGTGAAGGCACTGTGTGCTTCGTTGTGAAAGCGAAACTACTTTGTTTGGTCTTCCAAAAGAGGATGATATCTGCTTTGTCATGCCTGGAGCTGATCCGTGCTGGTTGCTGAGGAAATACTTCAACTTCGCGCTGTCGATTGCCGGATCGGCTTTCACCGTGGACGAAGCGGAGTCCAGCCCGGGGTCGTCACATGTGGTTGCCGCAGGCATCACAATATGGTAAGGGACGTAACATTTCCATCACACGCTTGAGGAATTCGGCCAATCAGAGCACACCTCGCTTTTTCAGACCGATGAGCTTTGTAAAAATCGACGCGTTTCAGAAAGACGGGGCATAGAGGAGAAACAATAATGTACAGTATGTGGAAAATAATGTGTTTTTTTAACCTTAAACCGCATCAACACATTTCATTACACCAAATACACAAAATAATGTTCTTTTTAGCAGCATCATATGACCCCTTTAAAGGGTTATCATCATCACCTCGTTGGGCTCATTTTAGACAATCATGCAGTAGTCTGCATAAAACTGGAAAAAAATGTACAGTCCGACAGTTTTCAACATCCCTTTTCCAGGCAGGAAAAAGGAAGCATTGCTCACTTGCTTCATTCATCGGAATGTTCCGGCGGGTTCAATATGAGTCAAGTTCTGTTGACAGAATTATTTTGTTGTACTCAACATTAGAGCTTAAAGGTACCATGACATGCTGCTTTTTAGATGCTTTTATATAGGCCTAAGTGGTCCCTAGTACTGTATCTGAAGTCTCTTTCCCGAAATTCAGCCTTGGTGTAGAATTTCAGCCACTACGAGCCAGTCCCACAATGAGCTTTCCTTAGGACGTGCCATTTCTGTGTCTGTAGCTTTAAATGCTAATGAGGAGGAGAGAGGCGGGGCAACTGCCATGCTTCGCTCGTTCGCAAGCCATGATGTCTCTCGAGGGAAAAAAAATATTGCGCTCGCCTCGCACGGTAGTAGCTCATTTTCTCATGGGCGGGCCAAATTCTCATGGGCGGGCAAAGCAGAGAAAGGGGAGGTAACCTTTCCCCGTATTACGACATAAAGGGAAGATTCCAGATTGGGCCATCTGAGCTTTCATTTTCTCAAAGGCGAAGCAGGATACCCAGGGCTCGGTTTACACCTATCGCCATTTCTAGCCACTGGGGGACCATAGGCAGTGCTAGGGGAACTCATATTAATGTTAAAAAAGTGAAATTTTCATGCCATGGGACCTTTAACAAAATCATTTCAGCTATCAATATGCTATTGATAGAGCTTAACTTGTATTGAACCGGGAGCATTCCTAAAAGTTTAGGCCGGGATGCAAAATTCAGCTTACATTTATCTTTTTCTGTTGCAAAAAGAATGTAAGAAACTGATGGTCTTCGTTCTGCTCAAAGCTTCTTTGAAGTGTCAAGAGCCATACATTTGTGGTGAGGAGGTAATTTATTGTCTTGTTTGTGGTTTTATGCCGTCTGCTCTGGGATAAGCAGTTTTTTTTCTTGTATGATGTGAAGTATGAGACATTCTCACTGGTTAAGACTTCCTGTTTAGTGCAGTGTCCTCTTTGACCAAAACATCCTTCATGAATTCAAAGCATATGTCACAATCTTTCCATGCTACAAATTGAGCTAGCAAATTTGTCATGTCTGTCAGCCTCAAGTGGAAGTCACATGTAGATGTCCTTTACATTTTCATTATTCTGTCTTACAGAAAGGAATTGTTCACACAAATATATATATATATAAAGTTTTATTTACTCTCTCTCTTGTTGTTCAAAAACGACAATTCACCATGAATGTAGGTCAACTCTTCTTATGCTCTTTATTATAAACATAACTAAGAGCAGCTTGGTCATTCTTCAAAATACCTTCGTTTTTTTCTTTCATGAAAGTTTTTTTGGGGATGAACTAATCCTGTAATGTTGAAACAGAACCTCCACAAAGGTAAACTGATGCAGGAGCTCCAGATTTATTTGAACCTGGTCTGTGGACTTAGATGA